GGACACGACGAGGCGCGAGCGAAACGATGCCCGAGTGAGGGCGCCGCCTCCCGGCTTTAGGAAAAACAGAACAAAAACAAACACTGGCAACTCGACTGGGGTCTGCAAAACTCCCATTCACAGCTCTCTTTTATGTTCATCAAATTACACTTTGTATTTACATTTACGTATATTTGTTATTTAAAAAAACTTGTATGCAGTGTTCCTATTGTGTTACACCACTTTGTTTTATCATTATTACTATTGGTATTTTTTAATCCAAAGAGACTTTACGTTTTCGACCTCCAAAGGCTAGTTTGAGTTGCCAGTTTCCTCTCTTTGAGACCGGACAGAGTAGAGTAATTACTAATGCTTATCTAGTCATATGTTAAAAACGAAAGATTTTATTGATATTTGATATACATGCATAAACAAATACAAACATGATTAACATCCATATACATACATTTATCCGTGCAAACATATGTGTGTTCGGTTTTAGCATTCTGTTATGATCCAGAGGGAAAGCAAACGCTATTTATGACGAAGTATGTATATTGCTTAATTGAGCAGTCACTCTGATATTTACATGTATCTTCTAGTTTTAATATTACAATAATCCACTTGAGGAAATATTTGGTAATGTTATATCTTTTAAAAGAAGTGTATATGGCTTTTGTCAATGATATATATTTTTTTCATTTTGTTTTCACTCTTAGAAATATTTTCTAGTCATCCAAAGGAAAATTAATACATTTCATTTTCAGATGTATGTAAAGGTTTTTATTGATAAAAATAATAGTGAGGACTTTGCAATATCAGAGATCAGTTGAACATATACATTTCTACATTTATACAGAAAAATATATAAGGAAATACTGCGGATAACAACAATAAAGAGTAATAAAATGTATTGTGAATCCTTCTAGTCTTTTAATATTATATCAAAATCAGTTTTAAAAGGAAATTAAATTTGAGAATTTACATCTTCACTTCAGATTCCGTATTTAACGCAATCGAAACGAAAATGTCACACAGATGTATGAAATCCCCGTAAGAATAAGCCAACGGGACAGAACCTAATGAAAATACATGCAAATGGTTTTGTGTTCTAAGCACCCATTTCACACTTGTAATTTTCCCATTTCTCTGTCTTAAATCCGTCATTAGTGTATACATGCGTTCTGGTTTACTGTGATGAAAGTATACTTCATCGTATCTTTTACTGATATTGTTGAGAGAAGTGGCAGTTTTGTTAATGTTATAGTTGCATATTAACGGGAGAAACACCTTTAACTGGATCCCCGATATGGGGAGACGTTCCTTTACATTTAGCTCTGGCATTGCCATTATCATTGTAAAGCTTTGCAAAACACTGAAGGTATTTGATCACTTTCAATATCATTCCCAAATCTTTATTTCTCAAAAATTTCAAGGTTAGATTATGCACTTTGGGCATTTTGCGTATGTAAGAGCAACCTCTGCCCCTAACGCACCCATCAAATGTGGCTATAGTACAGGTGGCGTCTTTACTGCACAATATTTCTAGATAGTGTCTGAAGTTTCAAGTTTTGCAGTCGATGGGAAAGTGTAAGTCAAAATCAAATGTACAATGATTTTACTTTGTGCAATTATTTTGACCATTTGCATGCATTCTTCATTACCAGCTGGATCAGCGTTGAGAGATATTAATATAGTTTTTGGTGATTTGTGGCTCAAACAATGTCTGGCAGCTCTAATGTCAATATCACCTACTCCCCAATCATTAGGCAAAAAATTACATACTTCAGCAACAACGTCGTTCGAGTAAGCAGCGTACCGTATAACTTCGAACCATATACGTCTACCACAGCGAAAGAATAACTTAACCAGTGCCTTTGCGAGTTTATTCTCTATAGTTCCTGAAGCCGAAAGCAGTGCCATGATATGCAATAACACCATGTAGAACTGGCTCCCTATTTCACATTGAGTCTTGTAGCCAAATATTTGGTACACAGTCTTGACTTCGTCTGTACTCTTAGAAAGCTGAAGAAGGACGTGTTCTGCGGCGTAATGAAACTGCTGTGTGTTATGAAGGAAAGAATAGCATGCAAGACCACTTCTGGCATTGGCACTTGGCTGGTACCCAAGGAACGTTGAAAAACAGTCCTCAGAAGACAAGCCCAAGTTGTCGCAGGCGGTTTGAAGGGTCTCTTGCATCTCCTTTGTAAGTTCCATATACTTTTGCAACTTCGTCATCTTGAAAGCCTCTTCACAAAGGATTTCGACCCACTTGCCAACTTTCCTTTCACATTCTTCTACAATCATTCCTTTCTTGTTTCTTGTTTTTATCACAAAGGCTTTTTATATGCGCTTTCTTGATTGAACTATAAAGTTGGGCAATGTCCCGCCTCTTTCATGTCTATGATATCTTCTTTCCACAGCTTGACAGTCAGAGTAAGTTTCAGTGGATTGAGGAGCTCTCTGTTGACCTCGCTTTCCAAACGACTTAATTCGCGTTCAAAATCTTCAAGCTTTTTCGTCGAAGTCGGAGGCTCTAGTAAAACGTTTTCAACTACCATGTTGCGACCTCTCGTACTGAGACCTAGAAGACGGACTTCCAACAGGCGGGCTTTCTCTACAAAATAAGGAGGCGTTCTGTACAACTTCTTTGATGAACTCCAAACTATGCTCGGGACGTGTCGTAACGAGGATGGTGTGTAAGAGGCCACGCTTTTCCACCAAGCACCTCAGGAGTCCCTTGGCTTCACGCGTGGCTTCTTCGTAACCGTCCACCAACCACAGAACCTTAAGAGACGACAATTTTTCCAGCACCTCAGATTGACCACAAGCCTTCACAGTTTGAGGGAGAGTGTCTTCCAGCAGCCGAACTACGTCGCTTGTGAACACTTCGGAGCACTGGATGGAGACCACGAGATCGCACTCTTGAAGGTCGACGAGGGAGTCAGCGCCAGAGACCCAGGAATTGAATATGTGTCTGGGAAAATAAGAGGAATTAGAAAACCACCAAGCAGACAGATCTTTCCATGACTATGGTAAGAATACCAACATGCAGAACACTAGATGAGCTAAACTAAAAAAGTAATACTTTAATAATGCCGATTAAATGAAGTAATGCAGTAAGAGGAATAACGTAGTATTGAGTTGAAGCAAACTGTAAACTTCACGGTGTACAGTCATTCCTATGCTGCCGTAGAAAAATAAGGATAATGATAAATACTATAAAATGATGTGAAGTTGAAACAATATAGGAATATACGTGAATAATAACCTGCATCAGAATGTTATGTAACTGAATACAAGCTCTTGTCTGTTGAGATGGTTATAATATAGAGCGATCGTAGCCTGGAGACTGTTTGCAACAGGAAACAGTCTATTGTATTTAGATTCACTATGCGACGATTTTTATTTTTATGATTTTGATTATCAAATAATATTATTTTGGCCCCCTTTCTCTCACTCTCTCTTTCCAGTTTCATGGGGGCTTCGATCTGATCTGCCCCTCACTTTTGGTACGGAATACATTGTAAGTCAACTTGGAAAATAACGTTACGTGGCATTTAAGTCAGCACCAGCAAAGGCCATGAATGAGAAGAGATGCCATACCACATACCACTCATATGAAATGCAAACAGAAAGTCTAAGCGCACTGCCTGCTGGCCTCCTTGTTTAACATTAGTAAAGTGGATAAATTTATCAGGAAATACTACTACTTGTATGAATATAGTCAGATATTATAAGTTCTTTCATTCATACCAAATGGCTTAATTTTCTGAAGCTTGGCTACCTCAACAGCTGAGGAAAAATCCAGTGGCACAAGTAGTCTCCAGATCTCCTCCATTCAAGGAAAAATATAATCTGATGCAGCATAGTGACTAAGGTATCATAGGAACTTGGGAAGACTTAAACGCAGACGCAAATGACCTAAAATAAGCTTGGGGAAAAGAAGTACTGCATAAGACAATGCAACCATTAATTTGCTAGAGAAAACAAGTTGGATTCCCTTTTCAACTTTCTCAACCAGATGTAAAGCGAAAAGAGCCTTATGGGTTACCGATTGGTGGTGTCGCAACTGTTAGGCAGGGGTTCATCGAGGGCCCCACCAAAGATAAAGTTGTGAGGCACTGGTAAAGTTATTAAAATTCGTACATCAGGAATTTAGGCCGAAACTGATAAGGAACCGATCTTTCCAAAGAGATGAATTTTGCTTTTGCTTTCAACTTTCTTCTAATTACTTTAGAAAGGATTGATGAATTATGACCCAATGAATAGCAATTATTGTATCATCAATTTATCTGAGAGAATGCGAGTTGCTACACCCACTGCACTCACTGTTTCATCATGGCAATTAAGATTCATCATCATTGTAAACGAATCCAGATAATTATTTTGTCTTGAGTATAGTATTTATTGAATCCACCTTTTCTTAACAATTCTTATCACAATTGACTGCGTTTGGTTTCCGCCACGAACACTCATAACATTAAGTTAATAAACAAGACTCCAAAAAAACAAACAAAAAAATACCGAAAGCAGAAAGGACCGTTTACAGGACTACAGGCTCTTTATATTACCAATTGTTATTCCATGTCAGCATTTCCCAAAGGGGCTATTTACAAGACTCAAAAAAATGAAAGGAGAAAGTTTACAAAACTGCAAACTTACCGACAAAGCGAGGTCTTGCCTGTCCCTGTGTCGCCGGTCACTAATATGACATGAGGTAGCTTGGTGTCTTCACAGGACCACCGTAACAGCTGGTTCAGGGGCAGCTCTTGCACTGACGCAGTGGTGGTGGATGCCGTCTGCGCTTGCTGGACCACCACTTCCGGCAAGACACCACTCACCGTCGCACACAATTTTCTCATTTCCTGTCTTCCAAGAGCGGCGAAGTTTTGCAGCGTGAATCCCGACGGAATAGGCTTGGATATAATGTCCTGCAGCTTGTCCTTCATTTTGGTGATGGCTCTGGAGGCCTCGTCAGGTCTCGCGCTCTTCTCTCCGGCCAACTCGAGGGCCTTCGC